TTTCCCCAAATATTTTTTGTCCGAGGTTGAATCCATAGATGAAGAGCCCACAGATGGGAGTTGACTGCATACTATTAATGGGATGATGAGGAAAAAATTTGGAAAAGGGAAGAAGCGCACAGTTTAGGAGGTTATGGCAGTGACCTAACAACACAGCTAACGTTACCATGACATCCCAGGCATGGTGCCAAGCACTTTACATTGGTGGCCTTATATAATTTTTGCAAAACCAGTGAGATAGTTACTATTATTAACCCCACTTTCCACCGAGGAAGTCGAGGCCTAGAGAGATGAAATGACTTGCCCAAATTACAAAGCCAGTGAGAGGCAGAATCAGTAAATGAACCCATGCTGTCTGATTTCAGAGTTGGAACTTTTACCACTAGGTTACATTGGCCAACTATGAGATTTTAAAATGTAGGAAAGCTCTTAATCCTACAGTAATTCACCCAATAAAATTTTGGATAACTTTCCCTGATTAGAGACATTACAAAGACATACAGTAAACAGTATTTTTAAGTAAGAACAGAGGTCAGAACAGATAGCTCAGTGGTAGGGTACCTGCCCAGCATGTGCCAGGGACTGGGTTCAACCCCCAGCTCCCCACCCTGCAAAGTAGGTACAGTATAGTAGCACAGGAAGCGCCTGCTTATTCTGTGCTACATGAGGCACTGTTGCAGTCTGGATCTTGAATGCCCCCTGCCCATGCATTGAGAGTAGGCTTCCCAGAATGGTGCTACTGGGAGGGGTAGAAACTACAAGGTAGGGCCTAGCAGGAGGTCTTCTGGCCACTAGGACATGTTCTTGAGTGGATAGTGGGACCTTCATCTCACCTCTCCCTCTCTCTTTTGCTTCCCCATCACGAGGTGAAGAGTTTGCTCCTCCACACACTCCCAGTTAGGATGGGCAGCCTGGCGTCCCACTCAGAATCAGTGAGGCCTACCAACCGGGTAGCAAAACCTCCAAACCTATGGGCCAAAACAAAACTTTTGTCTTTACAGGTTGATGTTCTGAAGCATTTGTTACACTACAGAAACCTAACACAGGGACCGTGCACACATTCTCCCCCTACCCATCTACCATGAAGCCAGAAACAGTACAGCTTTCCCAGCTTTGCCAGTGCACAGGGTGTGCTTGCCCCGCCAGCACACCTTCCCTGAGCTCAGCCTTGTGCCCTCCACCAAGGCCTGGCATTACTCAGAGAAGACACTCTGTATCAACCTGCTCTCAAGAGGCTCATGGCACAGCTGAGAAGAGACCTTTCAGTTTAAATCCTCCCTCTCTTACACCTTTGTAGCTAAGTACCAGAGGCCCTAAGATGATGACAGTGGAGCCCCATCCTCCTACAACACCATCCTAGTACACTCTGCAGATCACTCAGCCTTCAGTACTCCTCTGTGTACATTTCACACAGGAACTCCATTCTCTTCTCCTTTCAGTGCTGTAAGCTTTTTCCTTTGTCTTTGAAGGAGTAGGAATTACTTTCATCTCTAGCTTTCCCTCATCCATCACCAGGGAGTATAACAAGAGGTTTATCTTAAGGAGCTTTAAAAAAAATGCAAAGGAGGGTAACTTCTCTATTGCCTTTAACTCTAGCAACGAGCCTGTGGGACTCTGCAGTATTTGCGAAAAAATGTTCAAAGAAAGACATGGAAAATTTCATCCTCAACGTTTTGCTGCCCAGGAAAAAAAAAAAAAAAAAAAAAAAAAAAAAAACCAGAACTCTTGGGCCCAATTATTCTGCTGTCTTGGACTTTGACCTTCAAAAGTCTCCCTCTGGTTCTAACCTGACTGGAACAGAGGGCAGCTGACAACAGAGGGCCAGCTGAATGAGCAGCTTGTGTCTAGGTTGGTCAAACTTAATGACTGTCAGGCCTTCAGAGCAACATCCAAAAGTTACAATACCATGCCAAACCCACAGGCTAACGGAGCAGCAAGCTTCATTACCATTTAATCTAAATTTGCCAGTTCCTGCCATGTTCTCAACATCATACTAGGAGCTGGGTAGTTAAACCAGGGGCAGTCCTTTAAAAATCAACTAACAGCAAAGACACTAATAAAGCCAGAAGAGATGGAGCTGAGCGAGCAGGGCACACTGAAGAGCAGTGGCACAGGAGTACTGGGGTGTGAACCACAAGTGGAAGCCCAATGCAGCACTACAGCCAGGGCTGCACCATCCCCCTTGCTTCTGCTTTTCCCAAGACAACTGTCGCTTCAAACTAGAAAACAATCTGAACAAGGAGTTATAAACAGCAGAAGCCTAAGCCCAACATGGGGGCACATGCCTACAATCCCAGCACTCAGGAGGCTGAGGCAGGATATAAATTTACAGCCAGTTTGACCAGTGCCTGACTCAAAAGGTGGGGGGACAAGGGTAGGTGTAACTGTTACTTTAGGATTGTAACTGAGTATTTAACCTTTCAAAACACATCTTCTCAAGTTAAAAACTTGAGAAACTTGGGATTCTGTACGTGTTCAGTAAATGGTAACTTTTATTATCAACATGATTTCTGGGATGGTCTAAGGAGAACACTCTGAACCAATGAATTAATGACAGCAGGCTTAGGGAAGCCGCCTGTCTACACACCAAGGACCCCCCTTCCACATACAGGCCTTATAAACCTCTCTGTTGCCCATTTCTACTTGTTACTCTTTCACCAAATCGACATGCACTGACTGGCTACAGTGCTGGGACTTGGAGAAGACATTGTAAAAGGAGGCTCATCTGAAGCCAGATGCAAAGAGTTTAGGGTATGTGGGTATATAATATAAAACTTCTGATAAGTTCTGGAGGAACTCTCAAAGGAATTAACATTTTTAAACACAGGATGGAGGCCTAAAAAACTCAACAAGAAACATACAGAAATTATGTAAGGAAAAATATAAAGCCCTCCTGAAAAATCCCCAAAGTATCTTTGAGCAAATGAAAAGACAGACCACGATCTTAGACAGAATTTAAAATCATAAAAATGTCAGTTCTCCCTAAGCTAAAATATAAATTTAGCACAATCCCAACAAAAGTATATCAAATTTCTGCTAAAAGTATATAAATTGATGTTTTATTTATTTTTACATTAATTTCACTGAGAAAGAAATAGCAATGAGACAGTTTTAAAACAGGTTAGTAGGACAGTTACAGTACATTGCATATTGTCTTTTTTTTTGGTGGAACCGGAGATTGAACTGAGGCCTTTGCATTTGCCAGGCAAGCGCTTATTCTACTGAGCTATCTCCCCAGCCCCTGCATATTGTCTTCATAGTAGTTATTCATAATACAAGATACAAATATGGTATCTTGTCTAAACACTATTAGTATAAATCTTTCTTCTCATTGAACTAAGAGAAAGTAGCTGTATATTTATCCTAACTATACAAATTAATGTTTTAAAATACAACAGAATAAACATGATAACCAGGAAACTCTGAAAAAGAACAATATAAAAAAACCCGGTTGTTATAGATATTAAAACAAATTATAAGGACTCCTAAATCAAGATATTTTGTAACAGCATAGGAAATGACAATCAAATTAAAGGAATGAAATAGATAATTTGGTAAGAAACCCAAGTGCGTCCATGCAGTTTAGTATTTAGTAAAATAGTACTTCATGTCAAAGAATTTTAGTAAGTTTTGAGACAAATGACTGGTCATGAGGAAAAAGATAAAAGTGGGTCCTTCCTCAAATCAGATGCTAAATTTCAAATGGACAATTTTAAAGGTTAAAAAGAAAATAACCCGGGGATATAGTTCTGTGGCCCAGTGCTTGCCTGGCAAGCATAAGGTCCTGAGTTCAACTCCTAGTACCAAAAAACAGCTGGGCAGAGTATATGTGCCCATCTGTAATCCCAGCACCAGTGAGGCTAAGGCAAGCTCACTGAGACCAGCCTGGGCTATAAAGTGAGCCCAAGGCCTGCCTGAACTGTACAGGAAGACCATGTCTCAAAAATCAAACAAAACAGAATAAACCAAAACAAATCAAAAATGAAACTTGTTTAAAAAAAAAGAATACATGTACTGCACTAGAAGAAAACAAAACTTTGCCTGCCTTCTCTATTCCCTTTTTCCTTCCTTTCTCTCTCCTTCCCAGACACAAGTTGAGCAGCTCTGTCCCAGCACATGCCGTTAAAATAAAAGAAGTTGAGAGTAGGAAAGAGTTCCTAGTAATGACTCAAAATCCAAAGCAACACACAGTAAGGCTGATAAACTTGACTCTATAAAGATAGAAGTCTTGCATGAGGATGGAGCAATGCAAGCAAGACCAAGCATAGAACAAAATGTTTATTTTTGTAACCTATACCACAGACATAGTCAGATACCCCTTATCTTATTAAATGAGAAAACAAATTTAAGATACATTGAATATTATTTCTTATCTGACAAACTGCCATACTATGGCAATTTATAGCATGCTTAGTAAGACTCAGGAAAAACAGACAAGAAGAATTAAGTATAAAATAAACACTGTGAACGTACCTTTTTTCTTTTAGTGCAGTTGATGGTTAAAAATCAAAATTAAGTACAAAAAGTAAAGCTATATTAATATGCTGAGCTGTAAAAGGCTCAAGTCAACAACTTCCGACAACTGCCAGTTGTACCAATAACTCACTACTATTATGGACTATTGGACTATATTGGGTTACTTTGCTGAATTTAAGTACCTAAAATCTTTGGATTGGCATCAAGTTTGAAAAGGTCCTTTAAAGACTTCTCCAAATACATCTTCTCTAACTGCAATGTAAGACCGGATCTCTGACAGAGCAAAACAAAAAAGTCGGTTGTGTTGGGAGCCACTGAGGCTAGGAAATTGATCAAATGTGTGTAGGTGGGACTAGGCCTCAGTGCCTAAAGCAAACAAGCTACCTCAGTCCTGAGATAAACATCCTGTCTGGTTAAAGTCAGCCATTAGTTGCTAGGCAACCCTGTATCACGTGTTACTAACTTTGCAAAAGTATAAATAAAGGACCAGTTCCTTGTGAAGAAAAAATATATAGCCAGGTGAGCCCGCGACCCCGCGCCGCCGGCCCAGAGCAGCGACCCGCACGGCCGGAAGCCCCGGCCGGCGCCGCATACTCCGCACCCGCCTGCAGCCAGAAAAACCAGCTTTCTTCTGTGGAGGGTACACAGCCATATTCTTGATTTCCTGGATCTGGTAACATGGCAAAAGCTGCCGGTCTAATTGAAGCCAATGGAGAACTCAAGGTCTTCACAGACCAGAACCTGAATCCCGGGAAAGGTGTGGTGTCCCTGGTGGCCATCCACCCATCCACAGTGAACGTGCTCGGGAAGCAACTCCTGCCCAAAACCTATGGACAGTCCAATGTCAACATCACACAACAAGTGGTGATTGGCACGCCCCAGTGGCCAGCAGCAGCCAGCACGATCGTGGTTGGGAGCCCACATACCCAGAGCACACACTTTGTGTCCCAGAGCCAGCCCTCCGAGTCCTCACCGTGGTCTGCTGGAAAGCGGAACAGGAAGGACGAGAAGCGCGGCAAGGGCCTGCGGCACATCTCCATGAAGGTGTGCGAGAAGGTGCAGCGCAAAGGCACCACCTCCTATAACGAGGTGGCTGACGAGCTGGTGGCAGAGTTCAGTGTTGCCGACAACCACCTCCTGCCCGAGTCTGCTTACGATCAGAACATACGGCGGCGAGTGTACGATGCCTTAAATGTGCTGATGGCCATGAACATCATCTCCAAGGAGAAGAAAGAGATCAAGTGGATTGGCCTGCCCACGAACTCAGCTCAGGAATGCCAGAGCCTCGAGGTGGAGGAGAGGCAGCGGCGGCTGGAGCGGATCAAGCAGAAGCAGGCCCAACTCCAGGAGCTCATCCTGCAGCAAATCGCCTTCAAGAACTTGGTGCAGAGGAACCGGCAGGTGGAACAGCAGGCCCGTCGGCCACCACCACCCAACTCGGTGATCCACTTGCCCTTCATCATTGTCAACACCAGCAGGAAGACTGTCATTGACTGCAGCATCTCCGATGACAAATTCGAGTACCTGTTCAACTTCGACAACACTTTTGCGATCCACGATGACATTGAGGTGCTGAAGCAGATGGGCATGGCCTGTGGCTTAGAGTCTGGCAGCTGCTCTGCCGAGGACCTCAAGGTGGCACAGAGCCTGGTGCCCAAAGCTCTGGAGCCCTATGTGACAGAAATGGCTCAGGGGTCCATTGGCAGCGTGTTCCTCACAACTGCAGGCTCTGCATCCAACAGCACAAGGTTATCTGCCAGCGACCAGAGCAACGGCGTGGAGGGGACTCTGGCCACCAGTTCCAACGGCTCCCAGTACAGCGGCTCGCAGGTGGAGACGCCCGTGTTCTGTGTGGGCGAGGATGAGGATGAGGAGGACGACTTCAGCGAGAACGAGGAGGACGACTTCAACGAGAACGAGGAGGACGACTTCAACGAGAACGAGGACAACTTCAACGAGAAGGAGGACGACTTCAACGAGAACGAGGACGACTTCAATGAGAATGAGGAGGACGACTTCAATGAGAACGAGGAGGACGACTGACACCCCGTCCAGCATCGGGGATGAGCGTTTAGCAAAGAGAAACTGGTTGGTTTGTGTTTTTTTTTGTTGTTGTTTTTTTGTTTTTGGCGGAACCAGGAAAGCGCTTATTTCACTGAGCCATCTCCCTGGTCCCAAAGAGAAGGTGTTTTAAACTGGGTTTTTCTTTCCTTTTGGTCTCCCCCCCCCCCCCCCCCCCAGGCCCGGTGAGCTGGGTTTCGACGCGCACCTCCAAGAAGCAAGGACTGTTGTGCGCGGTGTGCAGGCTTGCGTGCCTGCGCCCGTGCGTGTTTGGTGCCTGTGTGCGGGCCCAAGCCTTTATTTACTTTTTGTTTTCTGTTTTTCCTTTAGTTCACAGTTGGTTTTTGCCTCCCAGCAGTGCTTGCTAGGTTGCTGAACACATTGTACTTCACCCATGCCAGTGACAATAAAGAAGCGCTGTCATGTCCTGCAGGCCCAGCCGCAGCACCCCATTTGCTGTGTGCGGAGAGGCGCCCCCCGCTGGCACACAGCGGGACTGCAGGACGCGTCTTCCCTCCGTTAAACACGCGAGGGCCAAAGAACCAACCGGTTAACAAAACTACATTTAAAATATTGAGCACCTTAAATTTTATTATGATTTTGCTTTTCCTTAAATTATGTTAATGTTGCAAACCCATCATATGTGCACACTTTTTCTGGTGCACCAAATAATTGAGACATGCTTTCTTTTTGTTTGGTAGTTTACTGTTGTGCTGGAGCAGCTATGGAATGTGTGGAAGGGTTGTTGCTTATGATAAAATTTGCCTGATTTCTTACAGGCCGCGTTTGGAAACTTTTTATTATATAGTTGTTTACATACTTATAAGTCTATCATTTAAAGACATGTACTGAAACAAATGTTGTATTTGTTTCCTAAACTATCTTCATGTAATCTACTATAAAGTTGAAATTAAACATAGAGAATGTTTTAACAGCCTGATTTCTTACAGGCCGCGTTTGGAAACTTTGTATTATATAGTTGTTTACATACTTATAAGTCTATCATTTAAAGACATGTACTGAAACAAATGTTGTATTTGTTTCCTAAGCAGTCTTCATGTAATCTATTATAAAGTTGAAATTAAACATAGAGAATGTTGTAACAGTTTAACTCAAAATTTGTCAATCATTTTTAATAGTTCTTTTTCTATAAAAAGAAAGGAATTTAAGGACAGGCAGTAGTTTCTTTTAAAATTTATTCACAATGAACCATTAACTGCACAGTTGCTGTTAGCTGCCTGTTCTGAAACAATGGTCTTTTTATTGAAACACAAACTTTTCTGTAATATTTTATAGAATACAAAGAGACTTTAATTGTTTGACTTTAACTTGGCACTGCTAGTTTTTATTAATAAAATGTGCATGGGCTTTAAAAAAAGAAAAAAATATATGTATACACAAGATAGGATAGATACACAGCTACTTTCTCTTAGTTCATTGAGAAGAAAGGTTCGTACTAACACTGTGTAGACAAGATATTATGTCTGCATCTTTTTAAAAAAAAATCAGAATTAAGCCGGCACATGCCTGTAATCCCAGCACTCAAGAGACCAATTCAGGAGTATCACCATGAGTTTGAGTTCAGCCTGGGCTACAAAGCGAACTCAAGGCCAGCCTGAACTGCATAGTGAGACCCTGTCTCAAGAAAAAAAAAAAAAAAAAAAAAGCTTCCTGTATTATCTTCTCACAAATAGTGACTTCTGCTCACTTCATGTGTATGTACACGAAAGTGTGTGATACTGGAAATTGAACTGAACCCAGGGCCTTTGTATATCTCCAGCCCTTTATCTTGAGATGGGATCTTGCCAAGTTGTTTTTATATTTCAAAAGATAGAAAACAAATTTTAAAAAAATAGAAAACAAAACAAAAACAGTACTCAAGAAACCAGTATGTCAGGGCCAGCCTGATAGCTCAGCAGACTGAAGCGCCTGCCGGCCCTGCCCCCAGGGGCACTCTGAGAGGATGGGTATGCTGGTGTGGGCCTGTAATTCCAGCACTTGGGAGGCTGAAAACAGGAAAATCACTACCAGTTGGATCTATGTAGTAAGACCTGGAAGATCCTGTCCTAAATACAGAAAAACAAAAACAAACAAAAAAACAGTATGTGGGGCCTCAAAAGCTATTATTTTTATATATACACAAAAATCCTTGGTGTCTAATTTCTCCCATCTTTCTTGGAAAGCATTCTCTATTTTGGACCCTGTCTTAAAATGATTCTGGGGCTGGCCAGATAGCTCGGCAGATTAGAGCGCCTGCTTAGGCAAAAACAGGGACCAGGGTTCTATACCGCATGCCGCGCTGGCTTGGGCCCTGCCTCCGGGGCTTGCTAAGACAGTGACTGAGACTGGGCGTGGTGACGCACGCAATCCCCGCACTTGGGAGGCTGAAAACAGGAGGATCACTATAAATTCAATATGTATATAGTGAGAACCTGTGGACCCTGTACTAAACACATAAAAAATTTTTAAAAAAGTTAAAATGATTTTGGAGGCCGGGGATTGGCTCAGTAGAATAAGCACTTCCCTGGCAAGCGCAAGAGTCTGAGTTCAATCCCCGGTTCCGCAAAAAAAAAAAAAGATTCTGGCACTCTGGTGTAGACTGCTCATGCAAAGGCCTCCAGATGTACATAACTAAAGTTTCAATGTGAACAACTAATTTTCAAACACTACATGGGCCAAAAATGTCTACAGCAATTTTCTGTTGAGGTCCTAAGCTTCCTTCTATTTCCCTTTGGGTATTGTCAGGGTTGCTGTCTGAAACACTGCCCAAAAGGCTGTGGTGAAGCCTTAGTTGCTAGCTAATAGGCTTCTAATCAGATTGAGAGCATTCTAAGTGCATCAGTGGAGTACTGCTCCATTGATAGGACCATAATTTGATGGCATTATTGGGAGGTTATGGAAATTTAGGAGTGAAGTGGATCACAGCAGCGTGACTTTGGGGACTATGTTCTCTCTGCTCCACCTCCCTGCCAGAAGTACTGAGGCCTGAACCCAGGGCATCATACTGAACTACATCTCTAGCCCTGTGTTTATTTTAAGGCAGGGTCTTTACAGGGCATGCTGGTGCACACCTGAAATCTCAGCACTAGACGGGCTGAGACAGAAGGATCCCCATAAGTTTAAGGCCAGCCTGTACTACAGAGATACTGTCTCAAAAAATAAATGAATACATACATACAGACAGACAGAGGACCGGCCAAATAGCTTGGGCCGGCCAAATAGCTCAGCAGACTAAAGTGTCTGCTTAGACACAGGGGCCAAGAGTTCAATCTCCAGCGCAGCATGCCGGCCCCGCCCCCCAGGGCACACTGAGATGGGCGTGGTGGTGCACACCTGTAATCCCAGCACTTGGGAGGCTATAAACAGGAGGATCACTACAAGTCTGATCTATGCAGTAAGACCCTGTACACCCTGTATACCCTGTCCTAAAAAATACAAATAAATAAAGACCATCTTGCTAAGCCAATAAATTACTCAAATTGGACTCAAACTTGTAATCCTCCTGCCTCAGCCTCCTAGACCGCTGGGATTACAGACATATACCACCTCCCCCATTCTCCTTTGGTAGCAGAGAGGATGAAACCAGGGGTACTCTACAACTGGGCTATATCCCACGCCTTTTTTATCTCAAGACAAATTCTTGTAAAATTGTCCAGCTTGCCTCAAGCTTGCCATGCTCCTGCCTCATCCTCATGAGAAGTGGGCTGATGGCCCGCATTACCATCCCTGGCCCCCTTTTTCCTCCTCCTCTTCCTCCCTTCCTCACTGTGGGATGTGAGCCACCCTGCCCCACCACCTTCTGTGATGCACTCGGCCTCACCACAGGTATACACACACACACACACACACACACACACACACACACGGAGCCAAGGACTGCAGGCTGAAACCATGAGCCAAGGGAAATCCTTCCTCCTTTACACTGATTCTTCTCAGGTAATTCAGCACAGCCTTGCAACACTGACCAGCACAGGTACTAGTAAGACCAGAAATTACGCTTGGGGCATGCACGAGGCCCTGAGTTCAATCCCAGCACTCAGGAAGCTGAGGCAAGAGGACTGTTGTGAGCTTAAGGTCAACCTGGGCTACACAGTGAGACTCTGACTAAAAAATAAATAAATAAATAAAACCAAAGACCCCTAAAGGTTCTCTGCGTTAAACTCTAAGGTAAGACTGTCTCAGAATAGAAGTGTTTTCCTTTTACACAAAGCAGATTCTCTTAGATGTCCTGTCTTTACCTCTCTCTCTCTCTCTTTTTTTTTTTTTTTTTCAGAACCAGGGATTGAACTCAGGTCCTTGCACTTGCCAGGCAAGCACTTATTCTACTGAGCTATGTCCCCAGCCCCTACCTTTCTTTATCTGTCTCCTCCTCCTTTCCCTTATGACCAAACATTCCTAAATCTGAAAAACTGACTCTACCTGCAAGAAGCTGATCCCTATGAACAAAGCACTGGGCTTCTATTGCTACCTCTTCCTTTTGCCTATTGGATGGACTATAAACTGGGTGTGGTGGGGCACAACTGTAATCCAAGCAGTCTGGAAGGATTATAAATTCCCTATCTCAGAATAAAAAAATTTAAAGAGGGTTAAAAATGTACATTTTAACACACACACATCCCACAGCGCTATTTACCAATTTAAAAAATGACTCCACGCTGAGGATGTAGCATACTGGTACAGCAAGTGCTCAGCGTGCAGCACAAAGCCCTAAGTTTCATTTTCAGCACCAAAAACAAACAATTTTTTAAAAAGAAGAAACAAATACAGTATCTGCTGGCAAGGTTGATTAGACATTCACACATCCCAACTCACATGTAATGGCAATCAGTCGTCTTTAAGGCATTAGTGAAACTAGATATACAATCATGCCTGACCATTTTAGACAAGGAGCAAAGTCTGCAGAGAGATACTTGCAAAACTCTGAAGTGGGGCTGGGGATATGGCTCAGCAATATCAGCACCTACTTGACAGGTGCAAGGTCTGGCTTTCAATCCCTAGTATCACCATAAAAAAAAAAAAAAAAAAGA